TGGGGACAGTACTTCACCCCTAAACAACCATGACCCTCATTGCCAGCTGCATCAGTCTTCATAGGTGCAGGCAGTTTTCTCACCATGGTAAGCCACAGAGAAGAGAGTTATTACAGCATCTTATACTGAGCAACATCCTCTGTAAATGACACAAGGGAGAAAAGAAGCATACAATTAAGAAAAGAGGGGGGGAAGGGAAAAGAAAATAGATCACTTGGACTCCAGGATCACGACACCCATATCACCAAGGTAATGATAATCTGAAGAACGAGGGTACCTCAGTATTGCCACATCTGTATTCACAGAGTGAGCCCCTGAGGGCACAATAAAAGATTGAACCATGCAAAAGTTCACATTTTTCAAGTGCATATTCAGCTTTTAAAAGAAACAGATATATGGTGTGTATCTAAGACACAAACTACAGATATACACAAAATAAAGATTACACTTTAAGCAGAATTCAGAACAAAGTATCTGTTACTAGAACTACTTCAAGAGGATTTGTAACAGCATTGAAATGCATAGTTTTTAAGTACAACTTGCTTTAAAGCCACATAAGCATATTTTCAAGCTTGAAGTAAAAATATTCTGCAATAGTTAGAAATTTCTTAAATTCAAATTTCAATTTATTTACGGTTCATTAAATACACTTGCTATTCTGCCTATAGTGCTAGACGAACTAATTTATTATTTAATTGCTACTTTGGAATTTTGATCAAAAATACAATTTTCTTGTTACACTTGTTAAACTTATATGAAATAAAACAAATATATTTGTTAATAACTAAGAAAGGAAGGCAAGTTTCATTAAATATACAAATTAGAAAGCAAATATACTTTGGTTAATATTTTATTTCAATGTTTATTGATGTTTTATAAAGTAATGGGAAACTTACTATGCCTAAAAACACAAGATTATTAATTGATTTTAATCATATGCATCGATCTTTATTAATTTCCATTTAACAATTCTAGTTTGTAGTCAAGAACCTTTTGTTCAAAGTTTTTCTTCTTAATGTCTAATTTTATTGATCTAAGAAAAAAATTTTTAACATACATTTATCATGTTTGAATATATGAAAAATTTACAGCTCTCACACTTTTCATATGAAAGCATTTTACAAAGAAGAACACCAACAGAATATAAAAATAAAACTCTTGAATCTTGAAGTTCATTTTTTCAATATTATTTACTAAAAAAAATTTGAGTAACAGTCAAATAAATATACAGTAGAATTCCAGAAATCCACAAAGCTTGGGACCAAAAGGTTGTGTGGATTTTAGGACTTTGCGGATTTCAGGACAGAAAAGATAAAGCATAGTATTCAGACTGAAAGTGCAAAATGAATAAGGCGTATTAGATACATTTAATTAAATTATTATATACATTGTTGCAATAATTTATTATATACATTAAATTATTATTACATATATAAATTGATTATATTATTTATTGTATTATATGTACACAGCATCGAGGTTTGCCGACTTCGCCTCATGAAAAGATTTCCGGTTTCGGATTCCGGTGTTAGAATCACTGTTGTAAAATTTCAACAGCTTTTCTTTATTTTTCCGTACATCATACACAATCGTGTCGCACTTCCATACCATTCTGCTATAAATCGAGGAGTAGCATCTGCTTCCATCTTTTGCAGAATTTGCACTTTCTGTGTTACTGTCAATGCAACGTGCTTACGTTTTTCAGCATTGCAAGTGGTAAAATCACAAGTGCGTTTCTTATCTGTCATTGTATTAAAAAGGGCTGAAATTAAAATATTCTTAATTTATCCACAAAATATCTGATAAAAAAGGCAGCACTAAAAAATCTCGTGAAATGAAAAAACAAAGCCAGAAAATAAAAGTGAACTGAAAAAAAGTTCAGTGATCATCTGCTTTTTTACCTCGATGCAGATTAGAGGGGGAAAACTTCTTTTATTTTATCTTATTTTTAAACTTTTTTTATATCATAATTGGTATTCCATTTGATTTTTATTATTTTGTAATTATGACGTCATTATTCAGTAAGTATTTTTTTCTTCAATATTTCATACTCAATGTTCCGGTTTCCGGAACCTATAAACTGAATGTTTATATTCTGAGAGGCAACGCGGATTTCGGGAGTTGGTGGATTTTCGGTATTTGACTGTATTTTCCTTTAAATATTTAAATATTTTTCTAGAATCTATTCAATTTAAAGCACACTTAGACAGTGGAGAAATATATTTAAAGAATCAGCACAAATAAAATTAAATCTTCACATCCATGGGGTAGCTTGGATCGGAGCTAGGGGGTGCAAACGATCTTAGATCGAGAAAACAAAAGTACGATATGACACCATCAGTGGTAGAGTAGATAAAATTGCTGAGCACCACTAATTTGATTCAAAAGTGAACTAATTGGTTGGCTGCATGAGTGTTTTTGGGGTTTTTTTTCCTCCTCATGTATTATAAATTGAATACGAATGATTTTACCTCAGAAAATTCTCTAAGACAGCTTTCCTTCAGGATAGCATTCACATGCTTTGCTACAGTCAAAAAAATGAGCAAATAAATAATGAAACTGGCATACATGAGTTTAAACAGATCATTGAAATATGGGAGATAGAAATAAAGAGACTTCTGAGCATTTTTTACTTGGTCTTTAATTCATATTACAACAATTTTTCAGCTTTCTGAACTAAATCATTTTAAAACTTCTTTTTCTATTTATAATCTTGTTTCTTGAACAAGATTTCGATACACACTTAACATACACAGCCCATTTAAGCGATTCTCTGTTATTGTAGAGTGCAACCAAGTTTTTACTCTGCACAGGGTACTAATTGAGGGATCAATAGTACTCATAGTACATGGTTGAGACAAAGATTAAACGAAGAGCACGTTTCGTTTCTGGGAAAGAATTGTTGCTTCTTTTACCAGATCTTCCACAGTTAACTCCTTCATGTTGTCGATCTCCAGCTTCTTCTTTTTCCAGAAATTATTCCAGAGTTCTCTCTCACTAACAAAATTTTTCAAATTATAAAAATTTTTTGGTAAATTCTTGCATTGGCATCTTTAGCATAGCTACAGGATGTAATAACAACAAACGAAATGCTGGTAAATTATTGCTGGACAATTCTTCCAGTGATAGTATTAAGGAATCCAGATATGGGATAATAAGAGACCTTTTCCAGAATTCATCAGCTGTAGATGCTGGAGGATTTGAGGGATGTTTTCGCAGTTTTACAATTCTAGGTGTTTGCAATTCAGTGCCAATACTTTCAGTCATAGCACTTGCGAAATACAGAATTTCATGACATAAAACATCTATTGCTCTACTATGTTCGTTTACAAGCATTAAAACTCTGTTTATGTGGTCTACACATTGTAGTATAGTTAAACTTTGTACTGTAACATATTAGCGACAGGTTCTAGCAGAACTGAATACTTTGCAGTTAGCCCTGCGCACAGGATAAATTCAGATTTTGTCGCAGCAGAATGTAATTGGAAAGCAGTTTTCCTGGCAGATGCATTACCTTCTTTTAATAACTTTTTCAGTCCCTGTACTATGTTTATAAAATGCTGTTTAAATATACTAATATTTGACTAGAAGAGAAACACGCTAATGTGACAATCAAAATCGTAAAAACAACCTTGTATTTAGTGTAAGTATAATGAAGCACGTGCAGTGTTGATAAGGACCACGTGTTTCTGAGACTCCTTCTCCTTTATTTTCTTTCTTTCTAGGTATTTCTTTCTCCTGATGAGGAGGGACCTTTAGCTGCCCTCGAAATGGATTGAGTGTTTCATTATACTTACGCTAAATACAAGGTTGTTTTTACGATTTTGATACTAATACTTCTGTATTTTTGAGACAAGCGTATGTCACATAAGTTTGGAATACTTACTATATATCTTCTTTATGCACTTTAAGCCTAGCATGATTGTGAAAACATGGTTTTCTGTTCCTCTCTCTTTTTTTTTTTTAGTTAATGTTTCTTCTGAATAGTAATACAAGCAATTCTTATAAAGTTTCCAGTTAAACATTTAACAGATTTTTATGTTAGAATTTGAAGCTTTAAATGGTGAAAAAAAAAGCATGAACATTCAAGTTTTTAAATTTCTTTGGAAGATTCATTGTATTTAAAGATTTGAATATCCCATCCTTAATGTTTCATAACGATGGAAAATGGAACAACGTTTTTCAAGCACCCCTTTCTCTCTACATATACACAAGTAAAAATTGACTGCAGAAAGATCTAATGATCTAAAGTAAATGAAATATAACCATAGTTTGAAATAAAAACTTTGTAACACTGATTCACAGCCCAGTCATATTAGTTATAGATTTTTCCAACTGAAACCCCTATGCCTATGATATCAGGATTTTCTAGTGCTATGAGGAAAAGAAAATACAGAAGATAACTTCCAACATCATACATCTTGAAACAATTAAAATAAATAGCTTCACAGCAATGCTAAAAATACTATAAAATACCATATTGCTATATAATATTAAATGCTATAAAATATCATATTTCTTTGATTCTAAGATGATCTATTTTTTCATATAATTGTTGCTAAAGGTAGACACTTCTCAGAATTAATGGCATCGTTAGAAATGTGATTAGTGTGGCATCATTAGAAATGTGATTAATTAGTGTGGCATCGTTAGAAATTTTCCACTTGAATTGCTAAATTTTACAAAGCAATGCTTTTTTAATTACTAATTTAAATAGAAACACATTTTTGTTAATAAATAAATGATTTTTAAAATAATATTTGGTAGACATAATTTTAGCATTCTATTTGATTCTTTTAAAATCAACTAGTTTCTACTGTTGGCAGCATTTAAACTAAAGAACATGCTTTAGAATTGAAGAAATGAGGTATAATTTTCACTTAAGTTTTCTTAAATGAATACATAAAAGTATAATTAAAATTCTTAAAATTGAAAATTGATTAATTTACTTTCCTTGCATAAATATAAAAATGAAGAGTTTTCCACCAGCTTCAATGCAATTAAATAGAATAGGAAAAACAGAGAAAAACTGCATTACCTGAAGTGCATTTATTCCTTAGTGTATCAGCAAAATTAAATCTTGCACTGGAAAGAAATGTAAAGAAAATAATCAACTGAAATCTTTGCAACTAAATACAGAAAGCAAGCATACATACAGCAAGCATTTCAAAGCATATGTAATAAAATATAGTACTAAAATTCAGATTTTCTGATATAAATATAGATATAAAATAAGATATTCTGATTTCTAACATCTTTTTCAGAATATTCATTATCTTTAAAAATGAGTTTTTGTTCTTTCAGCATATGATTTCAAAACAAAGTGAAAGGCGAATATAGTGAAAATTCTCATAAGTACTTACAGGAAGTACAGCTTATTAAGTTTGAATCACATTTCAAGAACCATGATACCAATATCAACTTCCCCCCCAATATTTTGAGAAAGAGGACAAATGAATTTCAGAAAACACTTTCAATACATACCTCATTATTCTATGCAAATAACTTTCCTACTCACCATACATTTTACTATTAAAATAAAATAATTAAAAAAATAGAATTCCAATTTTTATTTAATATTTCTATTAGTTTATACTCTTTATATCTGATAACTAATAATATTTCCATAAATATTTAAAAAATTATTTAAATATCTGGCTGTAACACAGGTTTTCCACTAAAACACATTCTTAATAAAGTTAGGAAAAAAATGAGAGCTGTACACCTTACAGTGAGGATAGTAATTTAAATTTATCACACAAATCTATGATTTTCTGCCAACGTTTTGGTAGTTTTTCAAAGCCATCGGCCCAGAAACTTGGCGGTCAAAAACAGATCGACCTCATTTTGGACATCCTGTGTAGAATGAAAGGTAGCACCAGCAAATGGAGCTGCAGATGTGAAAAAAAGGTAGTAGGGGCTTTATATGGTGGGTGTGGCAAAAGATCCCACTTGAGTCCATACAGAGTCCAACCGGTGAATGCAGACTTATGCGGTCTTGCATTACCCTGATTAGTGCAGGCCTGAACATGTCTGTCCTTATCTACCTGAGACAGCCCATGCAGCACCCAGTGATTGAAATTGTATATCAAGTTTATGCGATGCATAGCACGAATGGACATAGCCCTAACATCTAACTCAGAGGTGGGGAACCTTATAAGAAGCCACATTTAAATTAGGCTGTGATAAAGGAGGCCACATAAGTTGATATACCTATAAATGTGACTTTTGTGAAATTATCACAGTTTTGTGTAGTTTTATTACTTTATTGCATTTTATAGAAATAATGAAAAAATTTTTTAAAAAAATTAGTCGTTTATTAAGTTAAAATTTTACAATATAAAATATTTTTGTATTCATATAAGGCTAACAACTTGTTATAACATTAATCTTTAATAATTTTTTAATAAACAACTACATTTAAATACTGTTTCAAATACAAATAATAAAACCGAAGTATTTTCAATAAATTTATTACATTATAAAGACAAACAACAGAAAAGTAATAATAAACTAATGTCTAACTCCTTAACAAGTTCTTGAGTGGTTACATACTGATTTTCTTCCACAAGTTCTCACAGGCGGGCTTCATCAACATCAGTAGTGCGGCCAGAGCCCTCTGCTTCTTAAATGTCATAGTCCTTGTTTTTGAACTTTTGGTACCAAACCTTCATAGTGTCATATGATACAACATTAGTACCTAAAGCTATACACATGATTTGGTGGCATTCTGTAGCTGACTTTTTGCAACAGAACTGGAAGTAATTGATGGTTCTAATCTGGTAGCATGATAGTTCCATTTCAGACACCTTGTACTTAATGATAATGATTTTTTTTTTTTACAAAATTCTCAATAGAGTGTTCTAAAGCCAGTCTCTTTCTTTCAAATGCTGAAAACTGTTTGACAAAATATGATTAAGCACGCCAATGTTATAACAGATAACATAAATCTGTTTAATGTCAGAAACAGATAAAAGTGACATTCACAAGCTACAGTTAAAAGAAATATTACAAATCTGTAATTTATTCAGACAAATCTCCTTCTACTTTCTTCTTTCAATTTAAAGAATTGTCTTAATGGAGCATTTCTTAAATTATGGTAATATAACTGTATTTACTGAAGTTATAGAGACTTAGATCTTCCACTTGATACAGAAATCTAAAAAGCTATCATCTGGATAAACATGTCACTCAGCATTTAAAATCACTTTCTCAATTACTGTTTCAGCTTGATCTTATTTTACTTTTGGCAAATGAATTTAGCTTTCAAAACTTCACATGAAATACTTCTACAACAAATAAGATGACATAACTTAAATTTTTGTAATCTATCCTTCACACAGGAAAAATTCAGGAAGAATTTTTGCAATTTTCCTCTTTTTTAGATTGCAGAAATGATTAGACACAGTTAATTCATTTACATATTTCAAACATTCAAATGCTAAACCTTATTCAATTTCATTAAGTGCTAATATTTAATTCACAAATGAAACTGCAGTTATATATAATATACATTATTTAAAAATAAAGTGATTTTCATGATATTGTTTTGTGTACATGCTAAACTTATTTAAAATATAAGATGCATGTTCTAAACAGTTAATTTTGTGAGAAAATTATGTATTATCTTCCTTTTTTTTTCTCATATTAAGCAACAAAGTGTAAAAATGCTTGGCTTTTTTTTTCTTTTATGAGCATCCGTTATTATACTCTTACGAGATTCATCTTAAGTTCTCTATGATCTACTTGATCCTTTTTTGACACGAGATACACGTGTAATACAGAAATGTAACTAACACTATTGTAACAGTTTTAGATTTCACACGATTGTTTAAGTTAAAATGCTGATATCAGAAAAAGTTTAAAATATTTCATTTTCATATCTTTTATATATATTAAGGCATAATTTTAGGGTGATTTTGAATATTTTAGCATAAATAGGAATTCTTAAAATTATCCAGACAAGAACACATTCACATCTCAAATTTTAGGTGAAAAGTAAAAAATAACTTCAAGGGAAAAAATTTCCCCTCTTTTTAAAATTTATCTAAACTAGAATTTTTAAACACTATTTTAAATATGGAAAAAGGATCATTTAAACAAAATATTTATAGATGATTTGTTGAAGAAAGGTGTTCAAAGAAAGAGATCAGTTTATGAGGGCAATTTTAAGAGTTTCTTACTGCTTTTCATATCTTTTAAAGCACAGCATGAAAATTTATTGGAATGCTTTATTACCTTAAACAAATATTTCTATTCATATTTCAAAAAGAATTTCGATAGCTCTCGCATGATACCATTCTGTCATTGTTCTAAAATGCTAACAAACATGCACTAAGAGAAACATAAATCATTCTTACTGCTTTTCATATGTTTCTAAAATTTTCCTTAATCTCCTTTTGTAAAACATTTCGGTTTCTGTTTCTATAATATCACGTCTCTCTGAAATAATATAAGATGGATATTTTAAATTATGCTTAATAACAGAAGCAAAAAGAATAATTGAAAAATTGGTACTTACATATTAATACAACCACCTTGAGGCAATTTGGTTATTTGTAATGGATGAAAAGATAAAAATTACTTATTGGGTGCAAGTTAATGGTGTTCTTGACTTAAGATTCTCACAATATTGATATTTATCACAAGTCAGCAAACGTTATAAACATATGAAAAGTAATTAATATAAAATAACAAGTATTCATTTAGAAGTCAAACAACAAAAACCAGCATTATATTTGCAAATTTAAATTTGTTTGACTTCTAAATTAATATGAAAAGTACTTTAGCAATTTAAAATACAAATTTAATTATCAAATAAAGATTATGTGATATGTTAAAAAAATAATAATTTACATTCATATCCAAATCATTCTGTAATATTTCGTGCTATTCTTCTCCCCAAATACACAGCGATCTGTTTTCACTTAAAAAAATTCAGAGAATTGCACAGATTTAGCATTGCGCAAAACCTGTAATACTGGCTATCTACCAAGCATCTCCTCATTGTTTCCTGTACAAATTTTGCATCAAAATTCTGTATTCCTGCAGAAATTTTACTGCAATTTATCATATTTTGTTAATAAAAACTATGGGAACTCAGAATAAACAAAAAGAAAGAATAAAAAATGACAACATTGTTGGCTGAAGAATTGTTATGAGCATGTTGCCTTATGAACGGTTATGTGCATGGCTGCCAGAGTTTTGCATATTCTGAAAGTATGGCGACTTCCACTAAAGTGGCTGCAATAACATATAAGTACCAAAACATTAGGAAAATTAAATATTCTTCCATCACTGCACTTGAATCAGAAAACACAGCATTTAAAAATAAGGAAATTTTAATAACAGAAACAAGAAAAATCATCTATTTTTTACATGCAAGATGTTATTTTGTTAATGTTTTTGCACTTTATTTTCAAATATATTCAATACACTTTTATCACCTTTAAAGTTTAAACTAATTTAGCCCTAGAATATGCTTTGTTTTATAAGCAGCATATGTTTGATGTCGAAGAACAAGGCTTAGATTAAATATTTTTATGCAATTCTTGATGATGATTTTTCAAACAGAAAAGCAAAAGCTTGACATTTTAACTACGAGGGCAATCCCCCCAAAAATGGTCTCCTATTTTTTGGGGACATAGAGAAAGTTTTAATACGGTTGTTGGCAACACTGTTGTGAGTGGTGCCTTCTCCGCTACCACATAAGCACACAGGCGCTTCGCTCGGATGCTCAGTCTTAGCTTGGCAGCCATTCGAAATGGAGCTCCTGATAAACGTTACCGCCAAGTGTGAAGTGCGCACAGTTATTCGATTTTTGAACGCAAAAGGCGTTAAACCAGTTGAAATTCACCGCCTGTTGACGGAAGTGTATGAACAGTCGTGCATGATGTCAAAAACGTTCGCAAGTGGTGTAGAGAGTTTACAGCCGGTCGTACTGAAATTCATGACGAAGAAAGGAGTGGGAAGCCGTCAATTGCCGACAAGACAATCAAGAAAGTTGAGGAACTCATGCGTAAAGATCAGAGGATCACTCTGGATGCTCCTGAAGCTCCTTAACACTTCTTGAAGGGCATGGCGGCAAGCTGGTATGACATGGGCATTGTAAAACTGCCATAGCGTCTTCAAAAATGCATCGACCGAAATGGCAATTATGTTGAAAAATAAAGCATTCTTCAATCTTTAAAGTAATGTAGCAATTATAGAAAATAAACGGTTCTTTGTATATCTAAAAATACAGGAGACCGTTTTTTTGGAACTGCCCTCATATAATATACTTTTCTTTAAAAGTGATTAAATTAAATATAAAATTATTCTTTTACAAACTGGAGACAACTAAATGAGATATGCAAGGACAATGCAATATAATTATTCCATGCAATTTTAAACCATTTGCTCTTGTGACTTATATCAACATATTCCTAATATAAACACTTTAAAAAATCAAAAAGATCTATGTTTATATTGCCTTATATTATACCTACCTTGGCTAGGCACTGGAGTGATTTGTGAGGTATCATTATCAGCTTGCCTCCGCTGTTTCTCTTCTTCCCAAATAGCAACGAGACCAGGATTTTTACCTTCACATGCTTTATGGATATAACAAATATAAACATTGATACATACACATTGCATAGATATTTAAACTGACAGAAAACAATATTAGGAAGATAATAAAAAATAAAAAAATATAAGACTGAAGGAAGATTCAAATTGAGATCATTTAAAAAACATATTTTACTCAAAGGGAATTGAGAGGGGGGATGAATTGAGAATTGGGGGGGATGTGTTTTGATAAAATTCTATAAAATGCACAAAGGATTAAAATTTTAAAATGCATTTAATAAACTGCCAATACTTTAACAAAACTAACAGCATTTGTACGAATTTCAAAACAAGAAGGGGAAAAATGCAAATGCATTTTAAATCAAGATTTTTGAGTGATAATAATGGGATTATTACAATCCTAAGCACCTGTTTTCAGGGATTTTGTTGGTTGCATTAAAAATTGTAAAAAAAACCTATAACTTTATTACAATTAAGAAGCCTTTTAATGCATGGAAACTGGAATTATTTAACTCTTGAACTATGGAAGAAATAAGAAACAGATGAAGATAGTTTAAGAGCGATAACTTTGTACTTAAGAACGATATCTTTGTAGAGACATTAGGAATTTTTGGAAGCAAAAGAGATGAAAAATTAGCAAGTGCCTTCGCTGGGAATTCAACCACAGACCTCTGGAATACTGTCCCAGCATGCTGAACCACTACACCATGAAGGCATGCTAGCAGGAGAAATACCTTATATACTCCCCCTTTTAAAGGGCGACTGGGTTTTTAAGGGACCCAATCATCAAATCCTGGGTGAGGAGAATCATCATCCAACACCTCTTTAGTTTGGGCGCCACTGTAGAGACATTAGAATTTTTTGGAAGCAAGAGAGATGAAAAATTAGCAACTGCCTTCGGTGGGAATCGAACCACAGATCTCTGGAATACTGGCCCAGCGTGCAGAACCACTACAAAACGCTAGGAAGGTGGGAGAAATACCTTATAGCTTTTTTAAAAACTTTCTAATGAATTCAATAGGGTTGCTATACTACCTGAAAAACTGGGAAAAGTCAGAGCATTTCATACTGAGATACCCCAAAAAGTGATTTTCATGCCAACGTCAGAAGTGATCACATTCGTGGGGAATCATATATCATGTGAGCATCATTCAGACAGCTAGTGTAGAGGCAATTTTCGCAGCACCAATCAGATTGTCTTTTAGAAAGGCAAAACAAGTTTCCAGTAAGTTTGAGAATCCAGAGATTCGCATGCGCATTTGCAATGCATGATGAACAAAAGTAAATTCCCTCCATTCTCGTATAAAACAAAAATCTTTTAAACCTTTTCTTCTTTCTTAAATGTCTTATTTGTCACTCTGCAGTAAAATAAAAATAAATAGCAGCCAATCATCTAGACTAACCATTTAATATATCGATATTTGCCAAAATACATAAATCATTTAATGTGTCTTCTTCCTTCTAAATTTATTTACTATTAGTTAATAATACTTTCAAATTTCCGGCAATTTTTTTGGCATACTTGTGAAACTAATTCTAGCAATAATATGACATACCATTACGAAATTTAATGCTTATATTTTTTATTTATGTATGCTGCTATATAAATACAAAATACTTGAATTTATTTTTAAATATCATTAAATAGATTTCTTTCTTCCTTTAGCTGCAAAATGTCTGCAGAAGATATTTTTAAATCCCGATTGGGCAAATTCTAATCTCAATCCTCAGTGGAGAAAACAACTCCTATTGTAGTAATAAAAGTAATGCTTAGGGGATTTTATATATAATATAGAATATAAAATCCCTAAGCATATATATATATATATATATATATGTATATAGTATATATATATATATATATCATTATACTTTTATAATATATATATATTCATTCTTATTTTTATAATCATATGAAGTTATATGAAATTAACAAATTTTTTTGTTTTCAAGTGGTACTACAATTAATTTGCCCTCACCACAGCCAATGTGCACTATGCGGATAGTACGGAATTTTCTTGAAACACACCTGGAAAACCTGGGAAAGTCAGGGAATTTCATTCTCCTGATTGTCTGGCAGCCCTAATTTAAAAATATACAGCTTGAAGCAAAATAAAAATATTTCTTTGTATTTTTTGTTAGCACATCAGTATTGAAAAATGCTGAAGTATAAATTCAAAACTAATAAAATTATATTAGCATTTGCAAAGTTTTTTCAATGGTAATGATTTTTGGACAAGTAAGTGAGAAATCAGGACTGAATGTTGATACTCTAGCTGCAGCACTTACTGTAAAATTTAGTATGATGATATTTCTTGCACCGAAATTTCAAATATACTGTTAGAAAATGATATATTGACAAAAAATATTCATTCAATGAAAAAATATTCGCTTAATTAAATAAGTGAAAGGATGTAAGCATAATTAGTATATTTTTGTTTGAACTAATAAAATGTTTCATTTATTTACGTTGTACTTTTTTCTTAAATTTTTTGTTGTCCTTTTCAACGTAAAAAAAATTGATCACCTCGATAGACAGCCAAAGATATAGTAAGCAGAACATCTATTTTTATTTCAATCACATAATGCCCAAATCTACCTCTAACATTCCCTAAATTATGAGACAAAAAGCAACTAAATTTGTTTGTTGCACCTCAAATCTAATTCACATACATATGACTGAGAATTTTCTCATGTGAGGCTACAATAGTTTCTTCTTGGCAATTTTCTATGCTATGGTTATTTATAACATAATCCAGTGTTTCCCAAAGTGTGATATGCATACCCTTGGGTGTACGGGAAGAGTTTGGTAGGGGTATGTATTGCATCGGAGTTTGTGGGGATATGCACTGCACTGTGTTTAATTGTGCCTGATTCTACATTCTCACGAGTCAAGTCATGGTCCAGTGTGATATGGCAGAAATATACTACACTTTGTCACAGAGACATCTTGTTTCGTTAATAGTTAGTGGCTTTTCGAGGTACCTGTGTATTTTTAGCTTTTGTGCAATTTTTCTTATAGGAAATCTTTGTTATGTGCTTTAGTAAGTCCTACTGATTTTGGCAATTTTTATAAAATACAATTTTTATCCCTAACATAGGTTATGGATCGCTGGTTGAAATTTGGAACTACTACACCGAAAGAAAGTAATGATTATAGTAACAATCCACTAACAGGAAATAATGAAATTAACGACAAATCAACTTCAATTTTGAAAGAACTTGTTAGGAAAAAAGTAAGGAAACTCGCAAGTATGACAAAGAATATCTTACATTTATTTATGGATTGGAGATGAAAGCAAGCCTATTCCATTTTGCGTCATTTGTTTTGAAAATTTATCAAATGAAACCATGAAACCATCCAATTTAAAATGCCATTTTGAGACAAACTGTAATCAGTACAAAGATAAGCCCACAGATTTTTTTGAAAATAAACTTAAGGATTTAAATCAATCTCCAAAAGTAATGCGGATCTGACAGGAGGTGACAATAAAAAAATGCCAGAAACTTCGTATCATGTGTCGCTTTTAATTGCAAAATGTAGTGCAGCAGAGACCATTAGCAAAATTTTAATCAAGCCGGCAGCCAAGATAATGGCAAAAGTACTGATAGGAGATAGAGCGAAACAAACTTTTGACTGCGTTCTTCTGTTGAATAATACAGTTCATCGACAAATCATTGATATGTCTAATAATGTGAAACAGATGTTATTACCTGATATTTTTCAAAATCATTATTATGCATTTGCAAGTAGATGAATCCACTGTTATTGCAAATTTTGAAAATCTTTTAGCATTAGTTAGATACAAAAAAAATCAAGAAATTCATGATGACTTATTTTGCCAGCCTTTATTAGGTCACACAATAGGAGAAGATATCTTTAATTTTATGAATAAATTTATATAAGAGAAAAAAATTGATTGGCATAGATGTGTTGGAATAAGCACAGATGGAGCAAAAAGTATGGTCAGACTATCATGTCCACACGTTGTTGCATACACAAAGAGGCCTTTGGCAACACGTAAGATGCTTACTGATCTACTGAAACTTCTGGATGAAAGTGTGAAAATCATTAACTACATTGAAAATCGTCCTTTGAATGCACGACTTCTTTGCAAATATGTGAAGAAATGGCAAGTAAACATACTCGGCTTCTTTTTCATACCCATGTTCATTGGCTATCTCGAGGAAAAATTCTAAATCAATTGTTTGAATTTAGACATGAACTTCATTGTTTTCTTAATGATAGGTTTGAGAAATTGTTTACAAAACTGGAAATGGCTTTGTAAACTAGCATACTTAGCAGACATATTCTCTATTTCAAATTGCCTCAACTTATGATTAGAAGGCAAAGAAATTTCTTCACATTCAAGATAAAGTGAATGCCTTCCATCGCAAAAGAGAGAAAAGAGAGTTGGTAATTGAGATGTAGTTCGTTTCTCTCTCTTCCTGAGTTTATAACAAATTCGCCTACTAAAATTGATGCCAATACTCGGAAATGCATAACACAGCATTTAAAGAGTTTGCAAGTGGGCTTGAAAAACTATTTCCCTGATTTAAACAAAATTATTGAAAGGATAAGATATCTGTTTAACATTAACACGACATCCATGCCAGAAGACATGTTGCATGCAGAAGAAGAGCAATTGAAGGAATAAACTATTGGACATGGAACCGAATCTCAGATTAAAATAAAAAACCAGGGAACCAATTTACGATGATCTGTCATCTCAGCACAAACAATTTCATCCTTCTCATTAATCCAAATAAATGTTATTTATATTTTATTATAATTTTATTTCTCTTTTCTTATTATTTGTGTGTGTCACTCCCCCCCCCAAAAAAAGAGAAAAATAAATATATTTTGATTGTTATTAAAATACATCCATTTTTTTAAGAGAGGTAATCAGTGTTATAAAAATTATAAAAGGGACATAATATTATTACATATATCAATAGTTTGGGAAACACTGATGACATAATCCCTACATTGTTAAGCATACTGTAGAAACCATAGTTGTAT